TAAAGAAAAAGCCGCCATTTTCTAATGCGCGCGCGCTAATCACGCGTGAAATTATGCGCAGTAGGGATGCGCAATGCAATACTGGGGAATGACCTCAACCATCTTGCTAGCGAGTCGAAGTTAAAAGTTCTATCCAGTGGTTCAATTCAACACTATTTGCGCAATTGTGGTTTTCTAATAAAAATCTTCGGTAAAAAAATCAATAAGAAAAGTTGAAATCCTGCCAGCGTAAAATTAACAAATAGATTCCATGTTGCTGTGCGTCTGATCAGTAATTGATCACAGATGACGTCAAAATGTGGTAAGAACAAAAAAGCGGCACACGAGGCGATAGCCGAGTGTGTCACTCTCCTGCGATCTATTACTGAACAGACGCACGGCAACATGGCATGTCCTTGTATTATATAATGAGAAAACAAAATTGACGTCTACATGCGTCTTTCCTCCAATTGATCATAAGTAAGAACCAATTATAACGCGAGAATAACTCGACATATTATATAACAGGACACGTACCTGACTTCAGCATTAATTTTGTAGCCTTTCGAGCTGTAACATCCAGCGGTACACTCATTTCTCGTTACCAGCTCCCCACAACGTTTACAGAGCCATCGCAGACTCGCTTTTTGTACAGCCGTTACTCGGCAACGCACAAATGAAATGGTCTGCACAAATTTCCCTTGTGCCTCACTCTGAATGAGTTCGATGAGTTGGCGCTGTGCAAGAGGCCTATTGGTTTCTTCGCCAGATCTTGATGCTGTAACGCTGACCGAAAATTGTGGATTCGGCTGAACGTCGTTAAGGCTCGTAATTGCGCGTCGCTCCACGAAAACTGAGGAGCACGCCTCAAAGGTACAATACACGTTTCTTGAGCGGGAGAATTTTCTCACCAACCTACGAAACTGGACAATAGCACCTAAAGAAAGGAAACAGGTTGTGACATAAGCTATATTATAAAGCCTGTCTGTGGTTCCTGCGCCAGTAAAGAAAGAAAAGAAAAATAAAATAGCAGAAATATAATAGAGACTAAGATTCCTGCTACTACGGAAGAGCGATAGCTCTCCTTTGAAAAGAAATGAAAATACGAAGCTGACTACAGTGATGCGCCTAGTCTAAATTAACCTACAACCTGCATTAACCAAACAACCCTACACTTCTCTCGACCTTAGGCACGTGCACTTAAAAAAAATAAAATAAAATAAAAATTAAAATTAAAATTAAAATAATAATAATAATAATAATAATAATAATAATAATAAATCACTTTATTTATGTGTCGAGGTGTTATGTACTGTACTAAATGAACTTGTTCTATACTGAAGAAGTATATTGAGGTAAGATACCATGATTGAGGGTAGTGAAAAGGATTTTCATGGAGACTACTTACCAGGCAACATCCCACAAATATATGTTGTTCTCCTCAAGTCCAGGTAGACAGAAATCGTGTTTGACGATTCAAGGTCTCGAACTCTTAACTGTATAATGGCATTTTTTAGAAGAGTAAGGGCTAGCTGCAGATCTTTTATAGTTGCCATTTTAACTGGACCAAGCTTTGGTACTTCCACAAGCTCATTAGGAAGCAGCTGGCCAGCAGTGTCTGACTGGCGCAGTTCTCGACTGACAAAAACAGCTCGGAAGCTGACTTGTGTGCTTGTAGAACAACTGCAAAGAGAACGCAAACCGTTCATTTCATCCCTCAACAAATAGCTACAAAAGAAATATCTACTAAATGTCACGTGAACTGTGCCTGAGCGCAAACGTCATTTATACACTCTAAATCGGAAAAAGCACGTGAATTCCAACAACGAAAGGCACCTGCGCCGTGCGACCAAAATATAAATCACGTTTTCGTCATAAAAAATCAAAAATTAAATAAGTGGTCATTGATGGCACAAAAATGAAACTATAGCCAAGATTTTTCGCGAGCGTTGCTCATAATTCGTCTTATTCTCACTTTCCCCCAATTGTTTGGGAAGAAACTCACTAGCAAACTTTAAACAGCGGTAAACTTTCATCATCAAATTCTGGTTAATTCCTTAATGATTTCTTGTTGAGCCTTTGTTCATATTTTCCTTCGTTATGAAGGTAATTTTGCACGACATAGCTTCTCAGAAATAATCAGTAAATACATTGTTTGAAAGAATTGAACAGGTCACAAGTCATACATTGTTGGGTTACAGGAACACCCCAGGAGTACAAGAAACACTCGACTGCGCCTTGTGCTTCTCCATGCACTTTTTCGTGTTCTTAAAAATTCAGGCTTGCTTCAATAACTCAATAAATAACTTCGATAACAATGCACTCGGACGTGTTAACGTTTCCCCAACATAGAGATCTTGTAATTCAAAGTCAGAAGCACAACGTCCTGCTGCAAAATAACACTGTGTCAGTAAAATTATTAAAGAAAACAATACATTTGTACCTTGGTTCCAATGATTTGTCACCTTCGTCTCCCTTACATGAAGCATCACTAAGAACAGCATCCACAGTTTGCAATCTATCAGTTTTCAAAAAATCATCTTTCAGCTCGTCAAGCGCTTTCACGATTTCCATGCTGTTTACTGCATCTTTTGATGGTGCAAGGCTGCACCTTTTACACCAGCAAATTCTCTCTAACAGCATATCGGAACTGACGTTGATCAGTGCCTGTAAGTTACCATTTTGTAAGATCCGGGAACTTTTTTCATTTGGAACTGTTTCGGTGATGACGTAAAAGCAACCAGCATGAAGAAACTGCGACCAGCACAAGTTTCTCTTCACCAGTCTTAGTGCAGCAGTTTTGCTTTGTAGTTTGAATTCTGAGAGAAAATCAGATATGTTTAAACAGGATGAATCTATTCGTTCCGAGGCAAAACTCTTATTTCCAGCGGCTTTTTCAACGTCGTTTCTGTAAACAGCCACGACTTTGATTTCCACACCGCAAGGATAACACAGCTCTTCTTGCACTCTTCTCAGGGCGGCAACTTCGCAGATCCTGACAACAAAAATAATCTTGCAGATAAATCCATTAACTCTCTTGCCCAAAGTCGCGTTGGCTTCTTCATTCAAGCTTTTAACCAAAGCACACGTTTTAGAATTTCCTTTCCCGTTGCCTGAACGTCTCGTCTTCCGCTTGCAATCTGGTTTTCTGCAAGTGTCTTTAGAAATCACAATTTCTACGTTATCAAAGGAAAACTGAAGATAAAGTCGATTTCTATCTGCGGAAAAATCTTCATGAAGGAGATTTCTCGGGTGAAATGTCTCCAAGACAACCTCAAACTTGCTGATTTGAAGCATAGCGTCAGTATGCCAGGTCTGCGCGTAGGGACATCTGGCACACTTGTCGTCAAAACACGATTCTTTGCAACAATGTGTTGTACAATCATGTCCTGTGGATTGTTGGTCACCAGCTGCAATCATGCAGGAGATTTCGCCTGTTTGGTCAAGCAATTTCAACTGACCAGTCCTTGAAGAACTTCGAAGACAGCCAACAAGAATCTAAGAACAAAAAAAATGCTTTCAGTCAGGATAAACATATTCCACTAAACAACCAAAGGTGCAATTCAACTACGTCAATTATGTTGCTTTTAAGAGTAGGAGGAACCATAGTTAATAGACCATGGAGAAACGTTTGTAGGATATTTTTCTTTCAATATTCATTTTACTGAAAACTCAGTACACGTGGCGGTCTTGTACTCAACGTCAGATCCTACTGAGTGCATGTAGTTCTAAGTTTACTTGCTACCCACCAATGGACGGCTAAAGCAATCTTGAGACACCATCTTGTACATCCAGTCTTCATTTTCCTGTGTTGTTGTAGTTGTGCTACTCATCAGCCCGCTCAGCCATGGCTTATCAGCGATATTCTGGCTCACAGCATCAAGGAATTCCTTAACTGTCGGAAGCCAAGGAAATGTCAGTACACTGGCTCGGTTTGGATGACACTTGTGAGGTAACTCGAAAAATTCATCATAGATGTTTCTTGGTTGTACGTTTGCGGCAGCTGAGGTTCGTTTTACGAAGGAGAGCAACAATTCCAGTACACTTTCTTCCTTTAATTCTCTGTTTGAACAAGACAATCAGAGGCTTATTCAAGGGTGGAGCCGGGTTTTATTAGACGCGTAATTAAATTTCTCAATCGCTTTATTGCCCTTACTGGTCATACACTACAATTGTTCTAATACCCTTTAACTTCCAGGCCCCCAACGTGATTAGAAAAGAGTTTTGCATGTGAAGTCGTCAGACTACACTTCAGTTAAAACAAACTAGAAATAATACACCCGTTACCTATTCTGTCTTGAAGAGTAAGAGACCAGCTGGCTTGTCCTGTTAATGTAAAACAAAATACACAGATAATACCTTAATGCAATAAAACACAATCCACCTCGTAAAGGTAAAAGAAAATGAACATCTCTACCATCCCCACCCAAAATGGAAAAGAAACCTCATGTACATTTATTGAATTTATTGAGTACTGTACCTGTAGAGATGTGAAAATTTATCAAGAACTTTCTCGCACATCTCAAGCAAGTCCACATAATCAGCCAGGGTGAGATTCTGTGCTAACAGAGCCAACGGACTCACACAAGGATTGTAAGGCTACAGAGAAAAAAAAATGCTTCAGTTGGAAGTTGCTCTTTTACTGTGTATATGTCATTAATTTCATTGGTCCTAGGAGACTATTGGTCCTTGTAGGTGGCAACTTGAAATAACGCGATGGATTGATGCAAGCTGAAGCTAGCTGATGTAGCTGAATCTGTCAGGCCCTAAGAAACTCTGCACGAATCAGTCCGTTCGTGTAAAACAGAGAGTATAGCTTGAACGCAATGTACGACTGCATGGGAAAATGCTTTCTAGGGATAACGCTGGAGAGCAGGTCACGTTCATGTATGTAATCTGCTTAATTAGTACCTTCCAAGGTGACGCCAGAGGTGAAAACTTCACCACTCCCACAGTGCTTTGCGTGCAGCAACACAGTCCCAGAGTTTTCTACGATGACAAAATAAGAAATATGGGTTACTGCCCAAGCGTGAGGTCAAGATGGCTGGATATTGATCAGAAGCTTTTATTTTGCGTGTTTATGGACCAAAACGGAGTTTTATTAAGCAGACTTAAAACCACAAACCTTTCCTTTCTTACACAGGTGAACATTGTGAGTAGTCACGTGCGCTCCAACACGTAGGCCACGACCCAGATTCGGAGAAGGCTGGTGACTAATATACAACCTGTAACGAAATTGTATACTATGCTGAAATTAGTTGATTGTACAAAACCTTCGATTACGAGAAACAAAGCGGAAAATCTAAACAAAAGCGCCGAGGATTCCGAACGTGACACAATATTTTAGTTCGCTATTAAGGAGTTAGGCAATACGAATTTTGGTACTAGGCCTTTGGAACTATAATTGTAATCTGCTGTCTACTCAGGTTTAAGAGCTGTGTTAAGCACTGAGCATTTGAAATAAGGCTCACACGTGCCTATGATCATTCCTAGAATGTAAGAGTTTCTACCTGATTGAACACTGTGCAGTTTGAATTGTTTTACTTGAAGTATTAATATGTTTACCTTATTTTATTGTCCAGTTCAAATACTCCAGCTTCGGGTTTTAGGCAATTAGTAATCACACCCTGAAACGTATTAATTTCAAAACGCATGACAAAAGTAACTTAAGATATTAAAGAAAATTGTGAGGAGAAAACGTAACATTAACTCGAGATTGGAGATTATAGTCGAACCTCTATCAAGCGGCTACCTATTAAGCGGTCACCCTTTATTCAACGGCCAGTTATCAAAGTCCCGAAATTATTGCCAGTAAAATGCTGTTAATAAAACCCCATTAACCGGCCACCTCCATTGAGCA